CCCCAAAACCCCAAAACCCCAAAACCCCTCAATTCATCATTTAATTGATGATTAGGAATAGATAATTTAATATTTTGAAATATAATATAATAAGCTTCTTAAGCAGCCACAAACCTAGCTAGATTTACATTACTTCATTTGTTTTGCCACAGAGTGTGCAATATGAATACTTTATTGACTCTATTATATGCTATTTTCTCTTTTTCGAATTCTATTTCAATCTCATCATATTTTCCTGCCTGAATTTACTTCATAATTTCGGTCTGCTTGAATTTCTCAAGATACTTGTCTAGGTCATGTACCTAAGGAATATATTCATTAATTATCATTCAAAATAGATGGTACTTACGTGATTCATTCCTTCTTCCCATCTGACAATGGTATTGCCTTCCTTTATAACAAACTTGAATTCAAATTTCAAAGGGAGTTCTGATTTATTGTATTACATATTCCACAGATGTCCATGATTCCATTTCATTCTGACCCTATTCAAATATAAATTTATAAACTGATAGACTTACGCATGATTTCCATTCCAAGCTCCAACTCTGCTATCAGAGCCTATTTGATAAACTTCTTGCCCAAACTATATAAATAAACTTATCAATAGTTAGATACACTTGTAACATAGTGGACTCTAAATTCGATAATCTCAGGATTTAACTTGAACATTTATTTCTTTGAAATTGCGAGATTAAGTGCATCATCATATATTCTATTTCTATCTGCTTTGAATACAGGATGATCTTGAAGCTACCTTATCCCCATTTTCAAAATACTCTTAGCTTGTCTCTCGCTTATTTCAGATATTCGCTCTTCTAAAGTCTAGATAAGTGTTAATTATATATTCAGAATAATTGAACTCTTACTTATTATGCTTTTTGGATCCTTTATTTGTCGACCATTCAGGTTTTATAATATACAATTATTTTATCTTATTCTTAAATTTAAAGACTAGAAATTTTATTAAAAATTCTACTTGCGGGGTTTTGGGGTTTTGGGGTTTTGGGGTTTTGGGG